CAGAAATTCGGGACTTAAATACGGATTTGATGCACGAGAAAATAGTGCATATTGGACGTGAAGAAGGGAGCAAGTTGCACGGGGGGAAAAAACGCGCCTGATTTAAATGTCACACCTGAAAGCTCACATCCTTTTAATTATGTTTGAAATTATGAACATTGCTCAACATCATGAAAATTAAACCTTATTTTCAATAAGCAATCCTGAAAAATATTTGGGGGTGCTTAACTTTTTTCTAGGTGTATATATGTACATCTTTCTCAAACTCACACTGAACATATATCTTTCTTTTTTGGCTATAATACATCTGTTATGACCAGTCCCCGCCTTAATCTGGTCCTGGATACACTTCTAAGAACTGATGATTGAAAGTAAAGAGGATTGTACTACAAAAAATATATACTACACTATATTTGCTATATTCAGTGCCAAACGAAGACTTTCACCGAATACCAAGGTTCAATCACTTGGCTGTGGATATAAGAGATGGTATTGGTTGAGACGCTCTCTATTTTATTAACTTGAACTAGATTACATGTAAAGGTTATGTACCATTTACAGTCTAGTGTGTACACCAACTCCTCTCAAGGCCATGTCCATTAATCTATCGCGTATAGCATTTTGTATCGAAATGTACTTTTCTTAATTTGGTGGGTATAGTCCTACACATGACAAACATTGCAGTGCCATGTTTAGTAGGGAGGGGAGGAAGAAGAGTCAAAATCAGGAGACGATGGACCAGCCTTCAAAGTTATGCAATCACAGTCAAGAGAATACTATAACTTTTAACACAGTATGCGTATATTCAAAAAATTTTGCACATTATCAATAAGCATTACAAGACTTTCGTATACGAAATATCAGATTTTTGTTTTAAGATTTAATTAATGATTTGCTCGTGCATTTTTTCTTTTCGAATGTTGGCCGTCCAACATGCAGAGTAATTTTGATTTTAAGATATTTTTATGCAGATAACAGATAATTATAAAATGTTTTTGTTTAGAAAAAACTATATTTAATCTGTTATTTTCACTATTGTATCTCAGTGTAGGTTTAGTAGATTTGACCGACTACGTAACCACCATAAAAACTTAGGAAATAGATATAAATTACGATTTTTTTCCTTCTAGAATGACAACAAATTATAACGAGTAACCAGAAATGTTAACCCTAAAAAGAACGCACCGACCACACTGTCGCAGGATATGTCGGCATGACCGTGTCGGTCTCTTTGATGACCTGAGTGACAATTGCCATGCCAAATTAACACGAAGCTGCTGTGGTAGCGACATTTTTCAATATTTATCTACAGGGTAGGCATCTAGAGATTTTAAGTAAAGTCTGCTGCCAAACCTGGCGACTTTTATCAGTATTGAAAATTAAAAGTAATATGTAACATGAAATTGTGAAATGAATAAAAAACTTGAAAATTCATACTTGCATTTTGCTTACTAGCCCTAAATGCTTCAATATAATATGATTTTTAATCTGTTGATTACCAAATTTTTTTATAAAGAAGTTAGGGCTGTTCTAATCAAATGTGACCAGCTGTCTTTTCTCAAAATATTTCTAGTAGAAATGCAGAATTGAAGATGAAGAGCATCATTAATACTGAACCACAAGATAAAAAAGTAAAACTTTGGAAGAGCCTAATCAACAAACGAATACAGCAGATTTATTAAGATGCAATTCAAAAGGTTCATGTAATCATACCCTATAGATCTTTTTCTCTGCACACCAAGTCACTGACATTGTACCCGTACCACTTTATTCTAACAGTGAAATATTATACTATTGTTTAAAGTTTATGTATTAAAACAGACTTGCATCAACAAAGTTAAAAACATAAAGGGTCTAAATTTTTGTTGCTGGGTAAATGATTTGGCACATACCCCAAATTCAAAAGCAGCCATCCCTAATTTAAAACTGTTGACTAGAGGGAACTTGCTGCTTACTTGACTACTTTTAACCATGATTTACTGGCACAATTATAATGTCCCACAGCTAAGAGAGAGCACTGTTCAAAGGCATATCCACTATGAAGCTTTCAATCTGCAGCCAAGCACAATAACACAACCAGTCTCTGAAAAATGGTACCAAATTTAAAACATAAATGTTATGACTGCCTTTCGTGGGCTGGCAAAATATTATTATAATTAATTATAATTGGCATAAAACATATGTATTAGGCCTATTATATTTTTTTAATCTTTATATAAGCCATTCTGTTGTAGCAAATGGTTTATTTAAAGTGTTCTGACTACTACTCTGTTTATTGTGTCCAAGCCAGCCTGATGAACTCTTGTTATCAAGCAAAGTGTAGTGTAGTGGAAATACTATTATACACTCTTTTTCTTGAAAAACCTTAATAAACTGAATAAAGAGTATAGCGTTAAAAATTATAATTTATAAAATAAATAATTATAATTAATCATAGCATGTATATTTTAATGAATATGCACTGTCCAAAACTTTTTGATGTTATTCAATTGTATGGATCAATATAAAATTAACTTTTTTTTTATAAATGACTTTTATTAACATTTTACATATTTGCTAAACAGAGTAAATATATTTCTCTGTTACTGATTTCTTTACAGCACTCCTATAGTGAACTACATGTGAATGTAAACTTTTCATGTCTTGAACATTTCACACAAAGTTTATAACCTTGAAATACACTGAAGTTTACTAGGTAATTTCTAAGCTTTATATTAATGCTTGTTAATTAAATTTGAATTGTTTACACACAGTTATTGAGTTCTTACATTGGATGGCTGGGGTGCTTTATTAACTTAATACTTCATTTCAATGCGAGTATTTTCTTAATGAAACTTAACAACTAACATTAGTTTGATATGGTGATAAAAATTTGTTTCATGAAACATTCTAGATGTTATTTTGAAATATCCGTTTTTATTATGGTGATATAAATCTAAATATGCTATTGTATATCAAAATATTTTTCTAGAGACTGTTGTTTATTTGTAGTTAAGTTCAAAGCTACACAAAGGGCTATCTGTGTTCTACCTACCACAGGTATCAAAGCCTGGTTTCTAGTATTGTAAGTCTGCAGACATACCGCAGTGACACTTGGTGGCCTCTAGAGATGATATATACACAAACACATCCATAGTATTAAGATATAAAGTCTAATATTACAAAAAGAAACAGTAGTCTAAGCCAAAGCATGTAAAATTTATTTACATATTTAATATATGTCTGTTGTATTTGTTACTGTAGTAATTGATGTGTAGAATAAATATCAACATACAATTTATTGTTAAATATGTCTTTATTTCAACGTGCTTCAAACAAGCACATTTGAAACAACATCTGATACAACTTCAACACAATCTTTCATTTTCATTTAGATGCATGCAAATTTAGAGTAACTGCTTAGTAACCTTACAGTTTTTTATTTTACTCATGTATATTATGGAATGATTAATACACTTACAGCTCAAGAGATAATTAATTTGGAAAAAAAGAAAGGATTCTGGGATAAAAACCACATTTATTTTACAGTGTCCAAGGCTCTCTATAAAACAGGTTATTTGCTGTCTTTGACAATTGCATACACACCTCGAAGCAATGAAATAAGTTCACTACCAAATAAACAAATATTAAAGTTTGTGTGTGTTTCAAATAAGCCTTTCTACTGCTACACTCACAAGAAATAATCTGCATCAACTCTAAAACCTACTTTCAAACTTATTCTCAAAACAAGTTACACCAGAAAATGTTAAGCATTTTCTAAACATTTGTAAAGCAGTAAACAGAATCAAGATAAGCCTGATTTTTAAAGCATATGAGTTAAAACGTTCTTCCATAATTAATTTAGATAACTACCTGAACATATCCACACTACAAAAGCATCCATAGATGTATTGTCTTCCTACCTGTTGCAGTTGTTAGTATAATAATACATGCCCACTTCTATATATTTATCCACAAGAAATTAAATTTAGAGTCAACAAATACTGTCCTGTTTTCCTTTAAGAAATTATATTTTCATCTGGATTTACACCACATTGACTAATTCATTCTGAAAAAAAACAAAAAACAATAGAATTATCTAGCACCTGCAAAAATGGTGTTTTTTTATGTATCAAGATCTTGAACAAACAGCATCTCTGACTGGCTTAGTCCAGCCTCTCGGAAGGACGGTGGCTCAGGACATTCTCTGGTGGGCTCACACGGAAGGACTCTGCGTGGAAAATTAGTCACAATTTGGAAGCTATCCGGTGACTGATCATGGCAAAACACAAAGTAGTATAGGTACTGAAAAATTACAAAATTACTGTCATCAATGCTGGGCCTACCACAAAACCAAAATAGATGTACTTGCTTACCTATATGCATAGATTAGAAACAGATTTAAAACAGAATAGTTCTGAAATGTAAACCTAGATATTTACAATTATAAACTCTGCATACTTTATCAACAGGAAGGAGAAAGTGTAGTGTCATTTATATAAAAATTAGTTATACTCCTCAAAATATTTTTCTAAAGTTCAAACTAACATTAATACAAATGGCACTACAATAACTTACACCATATAACTTGTTCTCAGGTTGAATAGATAAAAAATGCCAGTATATTTGGTGACTAAATTTCAGTTTCTATAATGAACAGGAGTTAACTTTTTACCCTGTCAGAATTGCAATATTTAATGCACTTTAACAGTTTTCTTTAAAAACTCTGTAGAAACCCTACTCAATAAAAAATATCAAACATTACTATAGTGATTTGGTGCTTAATAAAAACATATTATTTTTATTATGATTACTTATTGGTTGGAAAAATTCTCAATTTTTGTTTTACCAATAAGCATTTAACAATCAGCAGCTTTGAATAAAATTAGTGAAGTTTCATGGACACAGAAATACCTATAAAGGCAAGTAACTACAAATTTAATGATTGTTACATCAAAACCAAAGAATGGCTTGATCACAATGCTAGCTTTAAATGATGTACTTATATGTTGCAACTTCAGCTCTAGACTTGTTTAAAAATTCAGATTAAAAGTAAAGCTTTTTATTGAAATGTTAAAAGTATCTGAAAAAGAATAAAAGAGATGCAATAAATAAATCAATTTTCTACACTGTGACTAAAACAGTCACAGAAGCTTCCCTTTTTTTTTTTTTTTTGTTAAAGAGCACCTAACAATATTTCTTAAGGAGCCAACTGGTGACTACTTGTTTTAAGCATTTCTTCCAAGTAAAGTTTAGGAACATTTTTTTGTACTGTTGATATTTTGAGGTTTTAAGAAGACCTCCTCAGTTTTGTTTGTCTTATAAGTTGTTCTCAAACAAAGAGGTGAGGGATGGGTGGAATATACTTTTGGTGTTTGTCAATCTGATTTTGGAAAACCAAATATATTGTTGCAGCATCTGTCACTGGTATGTAAACTAGTTTTGCATGTCTACTCATTAGATTGTAATTGCCCAGAGTGAAGGAACCAAGAAACCAGTTGTTTCAGTTGGGTGCCATTTCTGAAAAGAACTCTATTGAATGGAGTCTAATTACATGATGCTTAATTCAAAAAAATAATGAAAAGAGTAAGGATCATGAAAGCAAAACTAGGTAAGGCTATGTAACCATAAATTCAGTACCATTGGCTAACATTTTAAATATAATAGTAAAATGTATGTCTAAAAATTACATATGATAAGGGACAAACCTATATTGTACTTAATTCAAATGCACTGCATTTCATACCAATTCTTGTTTACAGTTTAGCCTGTACTATTACACAATCTATTACACAACTCCAAAAGATATACTGCAACTGTAGGTGATCTCACAATTTTAACAAAAAGTATACTGTATATCAATATATACTTTATTGAGAGTAATCGTGTAAGTTAGCATTTATAATGTTCACAAACTATATGACCTCCAATAAATCTAAGCATATTCACATGTAGCATATAAAATAAAACCAAAAGACCTCCTATTATAAAATCATCTAAAAAACTGTAGTTTCAAAGTTAATATTTTCCTACACTGAAAATATATTTCTGATAAATAGTCACCTTATCTCACAAAACAGCTTTCCTTGATTTGTACTGCCCCCTCTATATGCACAAAATTTTTGCCTGCCACTAGCTTTTATACTCCCACTAATCTCCACGTGGCACAACTATGTTGTGGTAATGTATGCAAATAAGCATGCAACAACCCTCCACAATAGGAGTGTGACACAACCTTCTGAAAAAAACTCACCAGAAGTGGAGAGGATGGGTGGGAAGTGTGAGCATAGGTATCTATCAGAAATCTATTTCAGTGTGTGAAAATATTAACTTTTGAACTGATAACTTATCTACTCTTACAAAACAGCTAGAATCCCACACTGACCCAGTGTAAAAGTTACCAAGATGAGCCTCCGTGAGAAAATGTCAGAAGAGGACTCTGGGAGTGTGAAATCTCAATGTAGAGGAAACATGGGAAACCACACCACATCTGAACCAGGTATACTCTTTGCATGAGATGAATGAATGTGTCATGAAATGGGCAGAATATGAAGCAAAACTGAAAAAGTGCTATTTGTGTAGAGTGGCTAAGGAGCATCAGACCACAAGCAAGAGGTCAACTCTAGTCCAAAACCAGCAGCATTGAGATTGGATCAATCGCCCCACAATAGGAGGAGTGTCCTCTACAATTCACCTCAGACCCAGGAATCAAAAGGGAAAAAAGTTCTTCCATTCCAGGAACCCAAGCTGTTATGTGTGCATAACCAACACCAGTATCCCTCATAAACCAACATTCAGGTAATAGGAAGGTGGAAATGCTATATGAAGGGTGAACTCCATTCCAAAACCATGTGGTATGGGAAATGTATTGTCCAGTTTGCAGTAGAAAGAGGGTCTCAGCCCACTCACATGTGAGGACTTATGTTGACTGATCAGGCTCCAACCAACACCAGTCACCCAAGAATCAACACCCAGGCAGTGGTGGGAGGGAGTGTTCCCAGTCAGAGGGGTGAACTGCATACAGAAATGTGACAGAAAAATCCAGTCCACATCATACGGCATCTGGAATCTTACATCAGATCTGCAACAGGAGGATAGTCATGCCACCTACATCTGCAGAATACCACTGCCATAATCTCAACTGAGTGGAATCAAACACATTCGGGAGGAAGCCTCCATGGTCTACCACCTGAGCAGCTAGAAGCTGATAAGTGGTAACAAATCCCATACTCCACTAGTAGAAGGGGGGAAAAAATGTGATGGAGAGCCAAGAGAAACACATCACTGGAGAAAATGCAATTGGTGACTGCAAATCTTATTTTGAAAAGCAGACTGACCAGACTTGTAAGATCAAAAGAACTGCAGGAAACGATAGCAGTCCTTTTTGCTTTAATTAGTTATTCCACGAGTGTAAGGTCCAGAACAAACATATTTACAAAGCAAAACACTGCAAGGATGAACTTACAAACATTCTTGTGGAACACCTGATCTCAACAGTGAGCAATGATAAAAGGTTGCACAGTACAGATAGAATTAGTATACTTGGACAGGCACCACTTACCACAGAGCAGGATCCAAAAAAGAAATGCAAAGGAGCTTGCTGTATTATGAAATAAAGAAGAAAAATGACACCTAGCTACTCAAAGATGAATTGATGAGTGAAGGATGGCAACAAGAGGGAGATGATATCCAGTTGAGAGGGTAACCACCAGACAATGCAGATAATGTGACATGAAAATATGAGGCACGTTCCACATGACAGCTTGGATAATTTCCTCCAAAGTATGATGAAGACAAGCAGCCAAAGACATTGTGAGGTGACAAATCTGGTGGTGGATACACAGAAAATACGACAGGAGTCAGGAGACAAGGTACCAAGAAACAGAAGGATTCCAATGTATAAATAAATGGAAACAGGAACAACGGAAAGAAGCCACGTGAGCCACATAAGATCGCAGAGCCCTAACTGGACACATGGGGTCAACTGGGATCAGAACAGGAATATGCAACGAAAAGAAGGGAACAGGAAGCCAAAGGTTCAAATGGAGGAAGAGAAAGGACATGGAAAACAACATTAAGATCCCAATCCAGAAAGGGAGTAGGTCATGGAGGGTGTGGAGATGAAAAGAATGAAACAAGAGTGAAATACCAGGAGAGAAAAAAACATGGTGGAATCAGAAAAAATGAAAGGTAGGCAATAATGCAGTTCTATAACCAGCAATGGTTGAAACAGAAAAACTATTATTGAAAAGTCAGGTAAAAAATTTATATAGGTGAAGGAAAGGAAGGGATAAATCTCTGATGAATTCACCATTGATGAAAAAAAATGCCACTTATGTCAGTACAAGGAAGAGGTATGGACAGAGTGGGAAAAAGGGATGCTACCCAGGTGGAAAGTATGGAACCTCATGCAAAAGACAAGGCAAAAGCCATGCATGAAGCCAGAGGGTGGGAATGTACAGATGAAAAACAGCCAAATGAGGTTGATAGGGAAGAGGAAGAGGTAACAGTGGTAACAACTGAAGAGGAGTAAGCAAAAGGAACCAAGGTTGAGCTGGCCATAACGGAGCCTCAAGGACTTGACATGGAGTGGTTTGAATAATGAAAAAAAAATGTCCAATGTGTAAAGACACAGTGACTGTATTTAGATGCCCCTTGTCAATTGATTAAGAGACAACATTAAGAGTTGTTGGAGTGGATCATCACTTTTTGCCCCTCAAAAACGACATGAAATGATCTGTTACATGACAAACAACCACGAGTTCCAGAACCCTGATGTTGACACTTAACCTGACCAAAGACCAAAAGAGAAGCATCTGTAAAAAGATGCTCCTGTGATCATGGAGAAGGAAGAGGGACATCAGCCGTTGTGTTGTCCCTGTACAATCACTAGGTAAAATGACTCTGGACAAAAGGGACACCAAGTAATCCAGTGGATCTCTGGTGAGGTTCCAATGATCCTGAAGGACCCACTGAGAAGACCACATGTTGGCACGTCACGGGGAATAAGAGCCTCCAAGGTAGCCCAAGTCTCCATAAGAGAAAGACCCTCTCCCACAGAAAGAAAAGGTGAGGATTGCACCTTCTAAATCGAAAACTCCATGGAATGCAGACAGGGAGAAGGTTGGGCCCCAACAGAGATGGGAGTTTAAGAATACCCCAAGGTGAACGAGATATTGAGTTAGTGTGAAAATGTACTTCTCCACCTTTACCAGCCAACCCATCAGCGCAGCTTCCTAGAGAAGAAACCACTTGTTGATGGAAGAGGATGAAAGCAAAGCATCTAAAAGTAGCTAGTCATCCATATAACGATGGAAATTAAGCCCATGTGAATGAAGTCGGGCAAAGACGAGAATAGAAACCACGAAGAGTAGGAACTAATGATTCTTTAGTGTCTTTGAGTAGATGGAGAGAGGGAAGGAACATAAAAGAGAGATAGGGGAGGTGTCGAAAGGAAATGAAGGGAGAGTCCTTCTGATAAAACCTGAAGAACCTAAGGGTCAGTAGTAAATTACTCCCAAATGTTCAAAAACAGAAGCAATCTGGACCTGATCCAATATGACAGTCACCTATACAGTTGGTGGCACGCAGGTCGGTGGTGAAGAATAGTATCACATGAAGGTGTGACTTGTGAGGAAGGAAGAGGTATGGGGGATGAAGGAGGTGGTCATGACACAGGAACAGGAGTAGTGGACAGTTGTGATAAACAAGAGGCTAAAAGTGAGAAGGAAGTATGCAAATAGGAATACCCTCCCCAAAAAACATTTGGCATGAAAATGGGGGCCATGTATAAATTATGTAAAGAGGTAGGGAGGAAGCACACAAGAGTTGTGCGGTCATCCCTACCAAAGAGGTCTCAACAACAAAGGAGCTAAGTGTGAAGGGAAAGGGCTGAAGATGATAAGCATACCAACATGGAGAAGAGAAAGGAACAGGTATCTCCCTAAAACTCCTCAGGGGAACGACGTATAGCCTCAGACAAAAGGTGCATGGAAGAAAGGTAATGAAAGAAAGATGTCAATGCCAGGCAAAGGAAAACTGTGTCTATGAAAAATGCACAGAAATGACAGGGTCTGACAGGGAGGATTGAAATCAAATGTTAAGTATCCAGAAAAGGATATGCCGAATAATGGTAAGTCAAAGCATGAGCCTCTATTATGCTTGGGGGATGTGGCATGCTGACCCCCAAAGACAAGTGCTGTGGAAAAAGCTCAGCTTTGACCCTGATGTTAGGTGAGGGAGGAAGGACAAAATATTCGGTAGTATGTGCTTCTGTCAAAAGTGAAGGAGATGTGTTATAAGACATGGGAGACTAAGACAAAATAGAACATACCTGTCAAACTACCTACACAAATGTAGATGAAGGTCAAGGCACATCCATGGTCTGAGAATCAGACTGCATGGCAAAGGAAGGAAATGAAAAAGACTGTACAAATCTCATCATATTGTTCCAGCTCTCCCGAGAAGGGGAGAAGTGGTTGATGGACAGGAGACCATTCAGCCTGCATGAGGGAAGACATCTCACAAACACAAGGGCTAAAATATCATCAGCCACTAACATTGGACCTGAAGCCATTGTGTTAATTTGTTGGTTACTAATTCTGTCTGAAGCTGTAGTAGTAGCGATTTATAACTCTAAATTCATAATTAAGTCATTCACAAAATTCACTTAAATATACGAAAAAATCAATTCCAAGTTATCTGTCAAATCCAAGCAAAAATAACTTGAAAATCAAAAAGAAATTTCCAAATCAAAAAATTTTTCAAATCCAAACAAAATCAGTGAAGAAATTTTTGAAGTCAAATTTCTAAAGTTCAAAAACCTTGTACACCAAATTAGATAAAAAAAATTGTGAGCAAGACGACTGATCACTGTCATGTCCAAATCGAGGAATGAATATTGGGTTCTACTGCATAAAGGGAGTCAGCTATACCTATCACCCCACTGCTCCTTCTAAGCATGCTCCAAAAACCCATTTCTTTTCCTGCATGTAAGTGGATGATTCTTACTGCTAATGCACAACACAAAACCTGATGTACTATTACTTGCCAGCATACTAAATACATGTACAATTAGTTTCTTATAATTCAAAAGCTATTTGTGGATAACATGAAAGAATGTTACAACATGTGAGATAAAGTGCAACTCTCCATGATATTAGTTCTGTAATTTACTGACCATTTAGTGTAAATCATCTGAAATCTACACACTTGAAGAATATTATTCTATCAAATTTTCAATAATTTAATGATAACCAAATTATTATATGGTCAAGTAATATTAGATAATAACTTTTAATATAACAATATTTTCAATTTGAACATGCAATATAATGTACAAAATATATATGAAATTAACACATACCTTTAGTGAATGGTCCCTTCTGAACCTTCTTTCTAACCTACGACCTTCAGGTAGTTTTATCATCAAACGAATAGTATCTGGTTCATTAGGTGGTGGTTCATCTGGAACCTGATCAGCTAGTTCTACTTTCAGTCTTCTTATTTCCTGGAAATTGAACAATACATAAGGGTTTAACCAATTGCAATAAATATCTACATATTTTTCAACTTTTCATATAATGAGAAATATGTATCAAAGTACACAAATATGTATTATAACATTTTATTAAAAAGAAAATTTTTAAATATAGCAAAAAATTATAAAAAGGAACTAAATTCTTACGTGAAATAATTAATCAGCAAGTTGTTTGAATATTGGTAAATTTAGCAATTTATCACCCTCACATAAATGATTTCGACACTAAATTATAAAAATAAGGTATATATTACAAAAAGAGAGACACAAAAAAAGAATAAAATAATCCACTTCTAAGCTTGCAAATTATGTACCCTTTTACATGGCTTTACACACAGTTTTAGTACTTAACCAGTGATTTAACATGGCTTTGCACACAGTTTTAGTACTTAACCAGTTATTTAACATGGCTTTACACACGGTTTTAGTACTTAACCAGTGATATAACATGGCTTTGCACACAGTTTTAGTATTTAACCAGTTATTTAACATGGCTTTACACACAGTTTTAGTACTTAACCAGTGATTTAACATGGCTTTGCACACAGTTTTAGTATTTAACCAGTTATTTAACATGGCTTTACACACGGTTTTAGTACTTAACCAGTTATTTAACATGGCTTTACATACAGTTTTAGTACTTAACCAGTTATTTAACATGGTTTTACACACAATTTTAGTACTTAACCAGTAATTTAACATGGTTTTACACACAATTTTAGTACTTAACCAGTAATTTAACATGGCTTTACACACAGTTTTGTACTTAACCAGTTATTTAATATGGCTTTACACAGTTTTAGTACTTAACCAGTTATTAAACATGGCTTTACACACGGATTTTGTACTTAATCAGTTATTTCACATGGCTTTACACACGGTTTTTGTACTTAACCAGTTATTTAACATGGCTAAAATCAAGATATTGTACTTAGTACAGAAATTTTGAATTAATAATTAATAAAAACATCACATTATAACTTGCATCTTTTTTGAATTGTTCAGCAAGCTTCTTTTCATGTTCCTCTCTTTCTTGCTGTTCTTTTCTCTCATCTTCTTCTTTTTTTATCCTTTCTTTTTCTTGGTCAGCACGTAATGATTCCAGGTAAGCTTGGTCTTGTTCCTCTCTTATTGTTTGATTCAAACTTCGTTCCTGTCTATTAAAAATGATAGTCATTGTAAGATTTCATTATTACTATCCTTTATATTAAAGAAAATACAGAAATTATTCATTTTCATATTTAACTTATCAGGATGTCTCTCTAGCAACCAATACATGCTGCAGAAAGACAGATAAAAGTACTAGTACTTTACCTATAGATAATCAGTAAATGTTAAAAATTTTAATTTAAGTCTAGCAACAAAACAACTAAATAACAATATCAAGATAATAATATGTATATAATAACAATATAAATACACTAAAAGTAATTTTTAAAGTAAAATAAAGTTATCCCTTTAACTATATGGTTGTTCATACCTAAACCAGAGATGATAACTTGTGAAAAACCTGGTATATAAAGAAGTTTATAATAAAAAATAAAAGAATTCATCAATTAAAAATAATAGGGGATATTTTTTATTATTTTAAAATAAAATTTTCTGTTTGATTACTAGAAGAATCATGTAATTGTAACAATAATACAAGTGTCATTAATTTTTGCCAAATAACTTTGGTTGTGTTTTCTTCATGAGAGAAGGTTGATTATGGATTCCAACAGCCTTGGTAGTACTGAATCCTCTGAATGAGAGAGTAGATGGGCACAGATGTTTAGGTTAACTTCTATAACTCATCTTCAGGTCTGCTTGTATCAAGACAATGCTGACCTGAAGGCTTATTGGAGTGTAGTTGTGATGTAGAGCTCCTGTTGTCTGAAAGTGCTTTTTTCAGTACAATTCTGTAGTCATAGGTATAGCTGTTAGTTAAAAATGCAACCCAAAGGCTGCTAATATCTGAATCCATAAGGTACAAGTTGATGTGCCGTCTTTAATAACAGCAAGTGTTGCATCACAGATGATTCAATTCTAGATCTACATATTTTAGTAATTTTTACTCATGTAAGGCTGATGGGGAAGTTGCTGCCCACAGCATCAGATGTAAACTGGAGTATTGCAACCATTGAAAAATAAAAAAGACATCAAATGTGGCCAGACTGCTTACATGCAGGCCTATATATATATTTCATGTTCCTAAAAAGGTTGTAGAAAAAATTTTGAGCATGCAATAATGGAAAGCTACTGGAACAAGCCAGGCTCCCAAAACAGGAAGAAGTCACTTCTCCTTCCAAGTGGAAACAGGAAAAAGTTTTTGAAAATAGGACTTCACACTTATGTATCAAATGCATTTAAAATGTGGAAATACCCATCTAATAAAGGAAATTTATTTAGGGATTAATTATTTCTAATACATATGTATCTATGCAATTTGAAGTGTTAAACAATAATAAATGTACGTTTTTCTAATTAAAAAACATTTTTTTCTTCAGAATCTAGGAAAATCATTTTATCTATTTTATTTTTTGCAATTTGAATCTTCATTCAAAATATTATAAAAACATTTTCTAAATTCAATGAATTTTTCTTCCTTTTATTTAAAGTTTTTAACTTAAATTTTGAATTCATGTCATGATTTGTGGTTTTTCTCACATGTATATAGAATGCTTTTCTACATCTATACAAAATGAGCAGTGCCAAATCCCTTGGTAAGTTACACATACCAAATGAAGTCATCCTGATTCAAAATTCTGTGAAATTTTTGGTTTCTAATTTTTCATTGGCCTTCTGCTTCTAGCCAGAACTTGATTCACATTTTTCTGAATGTTTTACACTTAAACAATTTGTTAGAGATATATCAAATGAATAGAAAATGCTATTATTGGCAAGAGTTTATAAATTTGATTTGACTGTATGTTTAAAATGAAATTATATTTGTACATGAATGATCAAAAATAATTTAAAATATACTGTTTTATGGTAAATACTCTGCAAAATTAACAATTACCTCCTGTGAAAAACAACCCATTCATAAATATAGCAATTAATGTACCAAAAAAAGATACAACACCTTTCTTAATCATCAAAAACACCCTTCCACGATCCACTAATAATAATAATTCAATTACGGTTATCAATACTATATATAGTCAACTTCATTTTTGTTTTGACATAAAATTTCAATAACAACTAATGCATTGGTATTGACATACTCTCAGTTGGAAGATTGGAACGATCATGTTGATTTGCTTATACCTATATTATGCATGCCAAGTTTGGAGAACATGAATAAGCATGTAGTTATCTCAGCAATATGATTGATTTATGTTGAGAGTTTGGCAACCAAGTGGGTGATGATACTTTTTGTCACCTTCAGCATGGCAGGTCACCAAATAGAGCTGAAAAATGAAAGCAAGTCAAATTTTACTGCAGGGGAAAATAAAACTCAAAGGTGAAGTTGAATGGCACTTTACCAAGTTGTGTGATCCCTGCTTTATATCGGTGCTTTAAGATATTTGGTCAAGGGCTAAAGTAAATCATCTATGCATGCCAAGCCTTGTTAAACATTACTTGGATTAAGAGTGAATCACCATTAACACAGTGGGTATTAAAACTGACAGAGTTAATACAACCTAATCATAGGGAAATTCATTTTCTTTGACAACCTTATGTCATAAGTTCCATTATCATCACAAATACTGAACTGAACATTAATTATTACTGTACTCTCAAATAAGTATATCTTGATTTCTATCATTACCAAAGATCTTGGCCTAACATTATTGCTTTAACTTTTTGATTACAGATAGGAGAAATACACCTATTATGTAACCACCAAAGTAACCATGAGATTAGTCATAACATAACTTTTGATAATGTACCTATATCTTCACAAAATTTGGCAGACTATCAGTAAACAGTACAAGGCTTTTGTACACAAAATATCAGATTTTTTAAATAAAGATTTGCTAGTGAATTATTTTTTTGGAATGTTGACTATCCAATACGTAAAGTAATTTTGATTTTAAGATTAAAAATAATTTTCATCTGAAAATTGATAAATTTTCATTTTTTGTTATCTCTAAAACTTTCTAAATAACATTTTTAGAAAACCACAATTGTTTATTCTAAATAGCTTAAAGCTTCCAGCAATATACATCTATTAATTTTTGTTATTTTGTTGACTTTTGAACCATGTCTAACTAATAATCTTGCCATGCAAGTTGTAAGTCAGGCGGCACATGTACAACTCATGTTACCATATCGAATAGGATAAAACTGTCCTACAAAGTAGAAATCTTTTACTCTTCTTACTCTTCCCCAAACAGGGAAATAAATACATCGTTTGCTTAAATGCTTTTGGTAAAAAAAAAAATTGACTTGGAACTTTAAAAGTTACTTTTTCTTACAAAACTTTTAACTGTATACTTAGCTGTAGTCTGCATATAAATTACATATTTAGAAAGTAATATTTTTTTTTCACTTTTTCTAGCCTACATTCTAACCTTTTACAAGAAAAATGATTAAGTATAATCCTTCATTGCTTGTTAAATACTTTTAGTAAAGTTTATTCTAAGCATACTGTATATGTACAAGCTAATCTAAATACAACACTATTATGAAACTTAATATTACATGTAGATTTTTCTTTTAAAAGAAGTGTTCTTGTTATCAAATTAACAACATGGTTATAGGTAGCTAACATAATTAACTCTCTCACTACAGACTCGGTCAATTCGATCAAATTTGTTAAACCCAAACCGACCTTTAGAATTTCCATACTATAACTTCTAATAGCTCTCAGTAAGCATTACAAGTCTTTTGTATACAAAAAATCAGAATTTTTATTGAAGTATTTTCAATGAACATTTCTCCATGAACATATGGAGCCAAAGCATTTACTGCTCCAAGTGCAAAGTGATTTTCGTGTCAAGATTAAAAATACTTTTCTTTCTCTGAAAATTGTAAAATTTCATTTGTGACATCTTTAAAATCTCCTAAATAAATTTCAAATATTTTTTTTAGTACAACATTATAATTTATCTATAATTTTCTCTTCCCCAACTCTATACAGACTCAGTCAATTTCAATGACCATATAACCACAATAAAACAATATGAAATAAATCTAAATTACTCTGTTTTCTAGATTGACTTCAAATTGTAACAGGAAACAACATCTGTTTATCCTAAATAGCTAAAATATCACAACAGTATACATCTGTTTCTACTCAAACTTCATTTTACTGCCTTTTGAAACATGTTTAACTCATAATCCCACCATACAAGTAGTAAATAACTTGGCAAATGTGTAGCTCAATCGAATTACATAACATATGAGCTACTAACAAGCATACAACATAAAAAAGTTTATTATTATTTTTCTTTATCTTATCTAACCTAATAAGTTTCTAATTGATATATTTTAGTTACTTTTATAACACTAAATAAAGAATGCACATAAAACATAAGAAATATAATATTTAACTGTTTTTTTTTTCTCTCAACTGTTGATGAAGTTTAAGGTAGTATAAACCCTTTACAAAGTGTTACCTTGGTTTTGACCTTTTTATGAGAAAAAACATCTTCATACTACGCTTTTTGTATTAGAGAATATACTGAAATAGATACAAATATATTTTCTGGCACATGCTGTGTAACATTACCACTGTGGTTAATTTGCATATTATGAAAGTAAAGAAATCTTATGTTCCTGATAACTTCTATAAACATGACTGAATACTCGTGAAAATGGATCAAGACTTTGATGGGATGTGAAAAATTAGTCTGAACTAAGGAAAACATTGAAAGTAAAGGGGTTAAGGATTCAAAATATAGCCTTCAACCTTATTTGGTTACAGAGCCATAAACTAGAATATCAGGCCTCTCTTGCCACACCAACCTGTCATATTCTCTCTTTCACAAATTGCCACTAGTTCTCTCTGATGTTTAATACTTTATTACTTATAATCAATAGAAAGTCAGGATTTTAATCTATCAAATGATGTATCATATTACTATTTTTTTTGTACAGAGAGTTGTCTGTTTTGCTCCCACTTCAAACTTTATTCCCACAGAAAACACATCAACAAGCTTGGCTGAATTTTTAATAGATTTTGTTGCATAGTTAGAAAGCCAGAAAAATTGCGATAGTTATGAGACATTGTCTGCTTTTTGCATGATATTATTTTGTATTCTTTGGTGCATTATTTAATTAAATAGAAAATTATTTAGTGCAGTAATACGATTAGTATAAAACAGTAGGGTTACGTTTCATTGACAGTCAACAGCAAAAAACAGCTTTATTTTGTTTTTTCATATGTATTATTTATTTATTATTATAAGAGTGACTAAAATGTAAAAATTAAAATATTTTTAGGTTAGACAAGGTTAACATTAGGTAAAATAACTAATAATAAAAATGTGTTCATTAGGTATGCTAACTAGCAACAAACAAGTAGCCCATGCATTATGTAATTCAATAGGATAACATGAGTTATATATGTTTGCTAAGTGTCTTAAAACATATGTGGGGAAAATATTAGTCAGACATGATTCCAAGGGCAATAAAATGATAAAATTTTAGTATAAACTGATGCATACCATTACGAGTTTAAAGCTATTTAGGAGTTACAATTTGAAGTCATTTTATAAAGAAAAAAGGGTAATTTAGATTTGTTTAAATTCTTTTTCGATGGTTATAATGTCCATCAAATTGATCAACCTCATATAGAGGTTGGAAAGAGAAAATAACAGAGAAAATATAAAATACTACTGAAATTAAACAAATGAAATTTGAGATTTTCCAGATGAAGAAAAGTATTTTTAATCTTAAATCAAAAACCACTTTGCACTCAAAGCAGTCAACACTTTCACTCCATATTCTCATGCAGATATTTCATTATCATTAACAATTCTGATTTTTTTGTCTACAAATGACTTAATTTTTACTGAAAGTTTGTAAAATTGCATGAAGATACACTAAACATATTAGAAGTAATAGTAATGAAACTATAAAGGTCAATTTTGGGTCACAAACTTAGCTGAGCCTGTAACGAGAATTAATGGCTCTGTAAACAAATAAGATTGAAGGATATAAAATTTATGCTTCACTTGAGTAATAACTATATTATAATGAGTACTATACGTGAACTTCCATACTTCCCAGAGAAGCATGGGATTAGCGAAGAGGGAAGACCTACAAAGCAAATGTCACAAGTCTCATACGATGGGAGATTGCAGCTTTTCTAAATATTTCCTTGGAAGATTAAAAACTTAAAACTTATACAATATTAAAATTTGACTATGTTTTAATGCCGTGTTTACTCGTACACCATGATAATAAAGTAGTTTAATTAAATGTTGAAAGTAACTCTTTGAAAAAGTTGTGATATTCACACTCTGACCTGCCCATGGCGAGAGAGTTAAAACAATATGTTACATTTTAGGTAGAATGAGAATGTTCCTTTTGTCCACTGTTGGAATAATTTGATATAAAAATAACACAGATTCATCTAATTCTTACCTATCAAGTCTAGCAGCTACTAAAGATGTTTCATTATCATTCATAATCCTTTGAAGCCTCTGTATTAATTCTGTTGGGTCTACTGGGCCCTCTAATCTTGCAACAACTGTCATACGATTATCTCGGAGTACTATTACAGCTAAAAATGGATAGCCATTTTCTCGTAGGGCTTGAGAAACTATAAAGTTAACAATAATTTTGTAATGCAAAATAATCAATTTGTTTGAAATTATATAATTTTTTTGCACTGAATTAATTTCTTATAATAATTTTATGATATATAAGAATGTACAAAATATTAAAATAATCAATAATTAATAAGTGCTATAGAGGTCATGTTCAAATTCAGGGGTAATATAATATTTTCATGAAATTTCTGAGAATTTATAAGAACTTTAACTAATTTAGTCTAAATGACAAACTCTGAATTACAAAATTTTTTTATTGTTACAAGACACTAGATATGAAACTATAAAATGTAAATTAACTAATAATCAATAAACCATACACAGTAGCTAAATATTTTATCAATAGCAAAATACCCAGGTCTGTGAGAAGTTTACACAATAAGCTGTCAAAAAAAAATTAACAGAGTTTGTTTGTATACTTTTCCATCAAAGTTACACAATGTGTTATCTCTTCTGTTTCCAGCAGGGAATTGAATCCCTAATTTTAGTGAACAAGTTAATAAAGTTATCACTAACCAACCGGGGAACAATTTTAACACATCCTTATTATTTTCAAAAATGTATTAAATGCTTATTTAATATACATGACTGGAAAAATCAGCCCTAGATTTTCAAATGCATGTTAGTACTGCTAGGATACACATGCATTACAATAAAAACAAATAGTTTGATTGCTATAAGTACTTATGACATTAAGTAATTTATAAAATCATACCTCTATATCCTTCTGGTAGATTAACTGAACATGCCCAGAACAAAAACCTGGTATTGATAAATGCTATTACATCTTGGTTAGCCAGAGTTGTCCTAAAATAAAAGACTAAATTAAACATGTAAAAAAGTAAAAATTTCCACCATCAAAATCTATCATGTTTGTCTAAAATTGACTATGTGATTAGTTGATAATGATAGAAAATAATTACTTCACTGTAGTAATTTTTAGCAAAATTTTAGTAAACTTCAGAGAAAAATTAGTTTCTGGGTAGTAGCAGATATCTTGTGCTAATAATTTTTAAAACTTTTTAAGCTTTAACTCCTCTCAATATGGGCTCAGTCAATTTGATCGACCACATGAACTTTTTGTACTTGTTTAATCCTTTCCACATGGGTCAAGGGTCAAAGACCACATCATCACATTTGTTGACTCTAATTTAAAATTTTATTGAACTACTATTTTATCAATTTATGTCAATAAGTTTGGTATCAAACTGTAGATTATAATTCAAGTTTTAGTATCATACATTATTTGATCTCTTAATTCAAAATTTTATTGAACCATTATTTTATCAATTTATGTCAATAAGTTTGGTATCAAACTGTAGATCATAATTCAAATTTTAGGATTATACATTATTTGATCTCTTAATTTAAAAGTAAATATAAAAAAAACACCTAAATATCGATTTTTGTGTGTCACTTTCAAGATAGATGTTTGTGATGTCAAAATACAAAGTCTATATTTTCGTATGAATTAGGAACTCAAATTACCGATATTAATAAGCTAGAATATAAAATAAAAACCTCCTGTCTTTTCAATTTGCTTAGATATCACTCATGTATGGAATCAAACACAATGGCCCCTCTCACGTCTTTCCATTTCTGGAAATGCTCCTTTATATACACTTAATTCTTTCTATGACATGTGAATGACCAATTTAAAGCTCAAAATGTTCCCCTAGTGGCTTTCTTAGCCATTTTCAAGTATTATGATGTCATATTGTTCTTTCAATACAAATCTTTGTGCTGGTAAGGTGAGTAGTCTACTCGAAATTTCATATTTTTTTAGACCCAAATATAGCTTTGTTCCAAAAATTGATAAATTATAATTGAGTTCTATGGTATTGATATAGTAATTTATGATTTTTTTGGTTTTTCAAACGTATATATAAAACTTAAAAAAAATTATTTCGTTTCACATCCTCCACACTTGAAATTTGATAAGGCTTAGCAACCTAGGGGAAGCAGCAAACGAGTACAAAGGTCAGAACTAGAAGAGATTTGCTTTACTTGTTTATTTTTAAGAAAAATAAGTTTAAGAAGTTATTTGAAATAGTAATAATGTATATACATATATTATGCATAATAATAGAAATGTGACTGTATTTTACAAAATAGTAGTCCACTAAAACACAGCCAAGACAGGTCACTTAGTAAAAACTAAAGGTAAGTTTTATATTATTGGATACTCTAATATGAGTGCACGTGCGCTGCATCATTGTAACTTATGTATTGTTAGCCAGGCATGACTGAAAGGTCAATATAGTAAAAATAATAAATATATATATATATAAATGTATAATGTTATGAGATTTAAGCTATTTAGTCTAAACATTTGTATTTTTGTGTTATAATTTAGTCATTTTAGAACGAAAAAGGCATAATTTATATATTTCCAAATTTTTTATGGTAGTTACGGAATTGGTTAATTTGACCAAACCTGTACAAAGATTCATTAATGAAAACAACAGATAAAATATAAAGTTTTGTTCTGAAGAAATGTTTGATAACTATCTCAGTATCTGGATGTTATAAAGGTTTTGCATGTGTAAATTGAAAATGTTCTGATGCAGAAAAGTATTTTTAATCTTAAAATGAAAATTACTTTGCATGTTGGATAAGCAACATGCAAAAAGAAAAAGGCATGAGAAAAATATTGCTTAACAAACCTTAAGACTTAATAAAAAAAATCATATTTTGCATATGAAAGCCTTGTAATGTTTACTGAAAGTCTGTCAAATTTCATGAACATATGCTTACTAATTTAAAAGTTATAGCATGAAAACTATAAAAAGAATTAAATGGTTATGAGATCAGTCCAAGGGATTGATCCTGTGCTGAAAGAGTTAAAGTCTTTATTGTTCTGATACTAGTAACTTTTAATATAGTACATGTATCTTCACAAAATTTGACAGACTTTCAGTAAACATTATAAGTCTTTCACATACAAAAAAAATTGTCAGTGAATATATTGACTATTTTTTTTACTATACCACATGCAAAGTGATTTTCATGTTAAGATTGAAAATACTTTTCTTCATCTCAAATTTCATTTGTGTAATCTCTAAAACCTCCTAAATACATTTCAAACGTTTGTTTCAGTAAAACTTTATATTTTTTGTTATTTTCTCTACTCTAACTCTATACAAAGTTGGTCAATTTGACCAAACTTGTAACTACCAAATAAATCTAAATTACTGTTTTTTTCTTTCTAGAATGACTTCAAATTGTAACATGACACCACATTTGTTTATGCTAAGTAGCTTTAAACTCGTAACAGTATACATCTATTTATACTAAAATTTTATTGTTTTGTTGCCTTTTGAACCACATCTAACTACTACTATTCATGCCATTATAAGTTGCAAATCACTTGGAGGAATGTGAAGTTCAAATTACGCTATTGAATATTACATTACCCACAAGCTGCTCGCATGCGTGCCTTGTGAAACATTTTTATTATATTATTATTATTTATTTTACCTAATCTAACCTTAACTAACCTAAACGAGATCCCTATTTTTACATTTTAATTACCTTTATAACAATAAATAAAGAGTAAACATGAAAAACAAAAAATAAAGTACTTAACATGGTCTTCTTTTCATTTTTTGCTGTCAACTGTCGATGACACTAAACCACACTTTTTTTTACTAATGGTAGTAATGCACTAAATAATTTTTATTTAATTAAATAATACACCAAAGTATATACACTGAGTGGTCACAAGTAAATAGACACCTAATTTTTGTCATTTAAC